AATCTTTTCGTACAGCTTGATTACTAGTATATAAATGTACGATAAGTTATTCACGTTCGCAATCTGCGTATACAACTGTCACGGTAAGAAAAGTTTCTTCATACGTTTTACATATATACATATGTATACTGAGAAATTTAATAAGTTATATTTATACAAGTAATTTTTAGTCCTTTTTTTTTTTAGCTTTATTCAACCAATATATAGTTACAAATTTCGTTTTTAATAGAAATTTAATGATATAGATTTCTTCTTTCAAAAAATTCTTATAGTTAATGAAATATATATCTTTGTTTAATTCTTTTTGTGCTGTATTTGCTTTGTTTTGTTTTCAATTTAATATTTAATTTCATATTTAATAGTTATTCAAGAAAAATGTTAAAGTTAAATAAGATGGAGAAAATAAAGAGCATCTTTGTATTTTTTATTATATTTCTTATATTGTTTCGTGTTGTGATCTTCAATTTGATCTATTTTATTCAAGAAAAATCTAGTTAAAATTAAATAAAATTAACAAAAAAGAATATATATATTAAAAGTGTGTAACTTTTTGTTATATATTTTTAAATTTTTATCTTAATTCTCAAAAAAATTTATTATTATAAAAAATTTTAAACTTTGATTTATTCATATATAAGATAAAAATTATAAGTATTATCACGTAATCTTAACAAAGTAATAATTATTATTTATGTTATTTATTTTTTATATGTAATCGCAAATACTTTGTATATAAAAATTAATCATTAATTGAAAATATTGATATATTTTTCAAAGTAATACTTTTCATTACATGATATACATTGAAAGATATGTTATGTAATACATAACTCAATATTAATTTACAGATGAAATTCACATTAAGACTATTTGCCATCTTGGCCATTATCGGCCTGGGACAAACTCATCAGTTCCCGAATTTTGGTACAGGTGCTCTTCATGAGGATTTACAAGACATTCTAGATTTAGTTCCTCTTGAAGAAGTTATCGATGATGTTGTGTACTATGTGATGCATGATAATGAAATACATGAGATATTTAATGATTTTCATCAAAGTACACCTATAATCAAACGCATGCTGATAGACATCCAAACCATTCCCGAAGTACTCAGGCTATTTATCTATCTACATAATGAAGGCATCAATATTTTTCACGTAATGAATATGATTAACCAAGCACATGATATTAAGGAACTCGTATCACCCAACTCTCAAACGTATTTTATACCGAGGAAGACCGACGGACTCCGCGGATTGATCAATGAAATCAAGAAACACATTAATTATGATGTTTTTATTAGCACATTTGCGGATAAACTAAAAACCTCTACAGCCTTTATCAATTTCATTAACCAACTTAAATCCAACAATTTCCAACAGATTGTTAACAAAATTTATAAAATTGAAACCTTCCAGTTGATCTTAAACTATCTTGAGGTTAAATCAGTGAGTTTAAAAATTGTGGAAGATATCATGTATCTCGTTCTCGGCATCGAAGTACCAAGCCTTCCTTCTAAAACGATAATAGCAGAACTAGAAGATTTCATCCATCTTATTCCGATAGAAAAGTTTCTCAGCATAATAGTCCAGTATATAAATGAAGACGAAAAAGTACAAAAAGCTGCACTGTTCATATTCACAACTGAATTCCACGATCTGCTGCGCGCTCTCGAAGCTCTTAAGGAATATCAAGCATTCGTGGAATATTTAGAAAAGACTGGGCTTCCTGTTATTGAATCTATTCAAGCATTGCATCATGCTATCGGCATGGAAAAATATGTGCCACCCAAAATAAAGAACCTTTTCATGTCTTTAAGTAAGGTACAGAAGATCGATGATGGAATGAAAGGGCTACTCAAAGATCTTTATGATGTATTACCTTTGGACGAAATTGACGCTCTTTACGGAAAAAAGTTAAAGACTTCCAAAGTCTTCACTGATTTCATCGCAAAGATTACGTCCAAAGAAATGAAGGAAATCATCAAGAATCTAACCGCTCATGAGATCTATAAGTTGTTTATCACGAGAACTAATGAAGTGGGATTGGATGTGAAAGGATCAACAAATCTCAGTAACAGAATAATTGGCCTTAAACCCCTATACTAAAATCAGTGTTTATAGTTTGAACGTTTGCAATTAATAATTTATTTTAAATTAACACTAATATAATAACATAGCTTAAAAGTTATTAATTCAATAATTATTTCTTCGCAACTAATAACAAATTAAACGATTTCTTTATAATAAACAACTCTTATTTCATTTTCTTCTTTCTTTCACAGATTTCTAAATATAAATAAATAATAAAGAAAAAGAAAGAAAAATATATAAGAAAGATATATAAGTAGAGATAGACTGAATAGAAGACAGAGACAGAGAGAGAGAGAGAGAGAGAGAGAGAGAGAGAGAGAGAGAGAATGTTTTTTCATATTATCTCGACTTTAATATCTTTAATAGTTTCAATTTTTATTCAATTTATATAATGTTTATAGATCATAATATATAAAATGTTTTTAACGCGCATATACAAATATATCCTTAAACGTATTTTCTAAATCAAGATCTCTCCTTATATATTCAGTATTATGAATTGTACATGAATAACGTTTTAACTTCGGTAAAAGAACAAACGGTATATAACAATTCTTATCTTTACTAATTACGTTTTCTCACGTAATCAATTAAATTAAAATGTGTTAATATCATATACCTTTTACGTAACTGACACGACATAATCGCATTAATGATTAAAAAATAAAATTTAGAAAAATCGATATATTTGTGTAAGCGATTATCGAGAATATTATCTTCACAATTATCTTTTAAATAGCATAGTTTTGTCTCAGATTTTATCTAGATAAAACAAATAAGTGTGGATGCTCTCTCGTTCTCTCTCTCTCTCTCCCTCCCTCCCTCCTTCTCTTTATCTATCTATCTATATCTTAAGATATAATATTCATATTGTATAATTATTCAATATGTTTCTAAGGAGATCAAAATCAATACTAATATTTGTTGCGACATGTTAAAATTATTTTAAAAAGTACTCCGTCTGTCTCATAAACAAAATATGTATTTTATTAGCATGATATTTGAAAAAACCTAGTAGTCGATTTCTTCTATCGTTCTACACTAATTTTATATTTATAAGAATTTGATTGCACCGGAATAAATTTCAAAATAGAAAGTGCAAAAACGGCAATATGCAGAATTCATAGCTATCCTCTTTCGCACACTCAGAGCCATCTAAATAATTCACGTCATTTGCCTAATACGAACGAATAATTCATCGCCAGATTTCAGCGAATAAATGCGAATAACTTTTCTAAGGAACTGAAAAAATTAGATCTATTCTAATCGCGATAATAAAATAACCGAATAGAAATTTATTTAAATACATAATCCATCCCGATTAAAAAAATATTATGCTACATAAAAACTTATCAACTATGTAAATTTTATATTTACATTAACAATTATAATCCTGAATGACGATCAATAAAATTAAATGTTAGATTGCAATGTGTATATTCACATTATCCATATACTAGTTTATTATAAAAATTCGATAGTATTATAATTTTAAGATTTTCAACTTCCAACTGCATTAGTTAAATGTGTTTATCACGGAAGCGATGAAGACTTATGTATTCTTCTGA